TATAGGTTGAATATATTTATTGCATATCTGGGTTTCCTTATTACGTCGCTTACATCACGCTTTTCCGAAGATTTTGTTCGTTTTTCTTTAAGCCAATTACATCCCAAAAATATAAAAAATACTTTTTCACTACTGATTAGAAAATGAAAGTAGTGGAAAAATTTGGAATCGACAGTTTTGAAGCTGAATACTAAACTGGAGTACGAAAGAGCTTTCTGCACACAATGAGCTCTTCATTAATGGTATAGCGTCCAAACATTGTAAATTTTATCCAGACATATAAAGTGGTTTAAAAAATATTTATGGCTCTTTCACCAACGACAGAGTTAATTGAAAGAACGTTTGGCACGCTAAGGCATGTTAAAACATGGCTGCGGTCTATTCGATCAGTGCGAAGTCATGGTAGGGAAAGTAAAAGCGAAAATAGCTCAAGCTGCGGATAATTCGAGTACTTTAGGGCGATATTTTGTAATTTTGACCTATCAAATACACGTATACATTTTATTTTTTACTAAAAAAATAGGTAAAAATAATAAAATGGGCAACCGGAGTTGCTGTGTTGCAAATTATACTAGCAAAAAAACTGTAAATTATATAAATTGTCAGTAGCAAAATCGAAATTAAATCAAAGAAATAAATGGACAGCTATATAATAAGAAGAAAAAACCTTTATTTTTGAAATAACAGTAATACTGGAAATAATTGACATCAGAAAAGGTTTTAATTAAACAATAAATTATTTTTTTATGATATTCTTCAACATCCCTTAAATCTTAAATGTTTACATTTTTGCCTTTGATTATTGTATATGGCTGAAATGTAATCTTGTGACTTATTGATAGGAAACCAGTTTTACAATCGAATTCTACGTTATTATATAATTATTTAACCTATTCTTCAATGACAACTTATTAGGCTTAGGCAAAATCTCATACATTTTCTCGTAAATACCTGCCTATGTTTTATTATTGATTTTTATTGATTATATTACTTTTTTAGCTGAAGTAATAAAAATATATAATAATAATAATTTTTTCACTTGTTTTACAAATCCATATACTTTTATTAAAATTAACATATATATTTTTTAATTACGAACTCTATTAAAAATTGTATTGTCAGTATACGCAAATATCGTCCGTTAGTTCATAAAATAGTTAGCGTTGCTGTCACGCACGGAGCGAATAATGAATGAAAGTAGGCTGACTGAAAATTAATTATGTTTTCTGTTATCGATGTTTTTAGTAGAGAAAAAAGAAATATAAAATTTGCGTTTTCCTACTGTTTTTTGTGTTCATCGACGTACTTGAGAGAGATTTTTTATATTTGTTTTTTTATAAATTTTTATTTTTTATATTATTATGTATGGCTGTGTCTTCTTGTTTATATTTTTCTTTTATATCACACCTTTTGTTTGTTTTTTAGAAATGTGCTTTAAGTTTCTTGTTTTTTTTTTAATTTTAGTTTTTGTCTTTTTTATTTGGTTATTTTATTTATTAGAGACTTGTTATGGCAACTTAAGTATCAGTTCTGTCAAATAGGTCAGTGACATTGTTAGGGTTACTACTAAAGTTCCACTCCCCCTTATCTTCGCTATTCAGTGAGATATCGGAATAATTTTGTTCTGTTTGAAAGACTGGAACAAATACTTTCTTTTGATGTACTCAATTAATCGTGACGCCATGGCTTACTTCCGGTTTTTTCGAAAATAACAGAAAATCGAAATGTTTTTATTTTTAAATGGAAACTCTTTTTTATTGTAAATTTAAATTTCTAAGACATTTTTGTATAATAATCGTGTATTGAAATTTTCTGTCAGCTGTCGAAATGGCCGCTATATTGGATAATATTTTTTCTAAACATGTTACTGTTGATTCGTTAATGGAAAAAAATATAGGAATATACGATCTTTATAAAATCTTTGTAAGCTTCAAAATTCCCATTGAGACCCATTTACCGTATACCAGTGGCGTATCTAAGCATTTTTATTATTAGCAAACCGTTCAATAATTCCATCCGCTTTTATCTTTGTTGTTAATTGAGATATTGGAATGAAAACTTTTTCGTTTAAAAGCTTGGAACAAATACTGTCATATACTGGATTCAATTGGTGTGTGATGTCATGGCTTACTTCTGGTTTTTCGGAAATAACAGAAAAACTCAATTTATTTTTTTTTTAAATAGAAACCCCCCTTTTTATTGAAAATTTGAATTTCGGGGACATTTATGGAAAAGAATCATGTGTTAAAAATTTTCTGTCCGCTGTCAAAATGACCATCATATTGGAAAATATTTTTTTTAATATGTTACAGAAAATTTTCAATACGTTTCTTATACATTTAATATGAAGACACTCCTATATTTTGTATATCTAACTAATTACAGATTTGAAGTTTTGCACAGTCTCTTGTAGAAAGTCATATACGTTATGGTATTGTAGCATGGGGTAGTGCTCTGCATAGTCACATTAATAACATAGAAATAATACAACGCAGATTTTTGAAATTAATAATGAACAAAAATTTTAGATACTCATCCGATATACTTTACGAAGAAAGCAAAATATTAGATATAAGACAAATGTACTTTGTTTCCACCAATCTAAAATATTACCCAACTAGACTCACAGCTACAATACCATCTCATACTTACCTAACCCGGAATAGATCAAACCATGTTGTACCCTTGGTGGAAAGATCTTTAACTCAAAGGTCTTTTTCATATCTAGGGCCTAAGATGTATAATCACTTACCAGAGGAAGTGCAATCCAAGGTTACTTTCCATTTGTTCAAGAAATATATAAAAATATTTACTTTCAATACCCCAAGGAAATATATTTCAGATCTAATAGAAAATAAAACCTAAAAAGTACTCACTATTTATGTATGTTTTCGTATTATAATGTATCAAGTAATATTTATATCAGACAATTCGATGGTATGATTCATTTCTCTTTCCTTATTATTATTTTTTTAGTATTTATTATTATTATTAGTATTATTAGTATTATTAGTATTATTAGTATTATTAGTATTATTAGTATTATTAGTATTATTAGTATTATTAGTATTATTAGTATTATTAGTATTATTAGTATTATTAGTATTATTAGTATTATTAGTATTATTAGTATTATTAGTATTATTAGTATTATTAGTATTATTAGTATTATTAGTATTATTAGTATTATTAGTATTATTAGTATTATTAGTATTATTAGTATTATTAGTATTATTAGTATTATTAGTATTATTAGTATTATTAGTATTATTAGTATTATTAGTATTATTAGTATTATTAGTATTATTAGTATTATTAGTATTATTAGTATTATTAGTATTATTAGTATTATTAGTATTATTAGTATTATTAGTATTATTAGTATTATTAGTATTATTAGTATTATTAGTATTATTAGTATTATTAGTATTATTAGTATTATTAGTATTATTAGTATTATTAGTATTATTAGTATTATTAGTATTATTAGTATTATTAGTATTATTAGTATTATTAGTATTATTAGTATTATTAGTATTATTAGTATTATTAGTATTATTAGTATTATTAGTATTATTAGTATTATTAGTATTATTAGTATTAGTATTATTAGTATTATTAGTATTAGTATTATTAGTATTAGTATTTTTATATGTATATTATGTATGGCATGTATTACAGTATATCTACTCAAAATTTCGTAACAAGTGTTAAGTCACTTAACGTGAGCCAATTTATTCATTTCTCTTTTTTTCTGTATCAAATGTGTTTATATGTACTATTTTAATGAATAAATTATTATTATTATTATTATTATTATTATTATTATACAGGGTGATGATTCACATTTTTTAGGATACTCAACTGAAATTTAAATTTTAAACGCGGCCTACTGCGAATCCACAAACAGGGTCAATTTTCGATATTTTTCTTCGCGTTAGAGATATCGGAAACAAATATTTGAAAAAGTTGTTCCGAATATTATTCTAACCCCACATACTAAATTTCATGATAAAATTTGCATTTTTAGTTTTTTTCTAATATAATTTTTGGTCAATACACAAAATTATTAAAAGTTGATTTTTTTTATTCGATAAACTATCGTGCCATGGATAGAAATATTTTGACACTTGTGAAATCATTAATGTCAATCATGGCACACTAGTTTATCGAATAAAAAAACATCATTTAATAATTTTTTGTGTATTGACCAAACTAATGAAAAAACTAAAAATACGAATTTTGTCATGAAATTTGGTATGTGGGGTAAGAATAATATTTGGAACAACTTTTTCAAATAAGTTTTTCTGATATCTCTAACGCGAAGAAAAATATCGAAAATTGATCCTGTTTGTGGATTCGCAGAAGGCCGCGTTTAAAATTTAAATTTCAGTTGAGTATTTTGAAAAATGGGAACCATCACCCTGTATAACTGTGCAAAATTTCAAATATGTAATTATTTAGATATCCAAAATATAGGGGTGTCTTCATCTTAAATGCGACACACTGTACAAACATGTTTCAAGATTTCATTATATATCACTTTTTTGTCAAATTTTTTATAATCATATATGTGCCTAATAAGACGTAAAATAAACGTTGAAACTTTGGCAAATTATAAGGAGTTAACGTTTCTTGTTATTGGCACGTCCTCTTCCATACATCTTCCCATTAACCTCATATACATACATTTGAAGGACGAAAAATCATACTCGTATATTTTTAATTTCTATTGAGGTTCATCACGAATATCTCCCATGTTTAATGAAATTAATTTTTTCATTTTGCGTAACGCTACCAATCTATTACCAAGAGTGTTTCGTGCTATTAGAATATATAATAAGGTGAGTAAAAATTGTTTGTATTCAATATATCACCCTAGAAACAAAACTCATATTAATCTATCGGCTACTGCCTTTTTCTTCTAGATGTAGTTATTGAATAATAGGTATATATTAATAAAAACTCGTGGGTAAGTATAAACTTTTAATTAACATCACCTTGAGTAAACAATCTTGTAAACGAAACGATACGATATCCATGACGATATTGATTATTTCTCAATAGTTATTTCGGCGGGGTAGGTGTTGATGAAGTTGTAGAAATCAAGACCAGCCATCGTATCTGATTTGAGTTTCTCGTCGCTCGAACATTGCCTGTCGATGTAGCATGAATCTGCAATATATAAAATCGTTATTGAATAACCGTATATTTTAAAAACATAAAGGGCAATTTGAAACATTGGTTTTCTCGATTAAAATAATTTTAATTACACAGATATTTCGACACTTGATATGAAGAACATCGCAAATTTGTTTGTTAATGTCAAGAAATTTAATTTATTATGGAAAGTCAGTGAATTTTTTTATTCATCGGGACATGTTGAATAGACTATGCCATATTTCATGATTCATTTGCTGCATGGTGTCCTTTTTAATCTGACTAGAATATGTTGCAATCATGGTGTGTTTTTTAATTTTGCTTAGCGCGTTTAATAAATGTTTGATGTATTTTAAAAATATATTCAGATATACAGAGTGGCGGAAATTTAATCAAACAATATGGAGATGTGTATTTTCTAGACGAATTGATTTGGTAATTTCAAATTTAAAATATCAGACCCGGTTTCAGAGATATTTGGTGAAAACGAAATTAGCGATTTTCACTTGAATTAATTGACATCACTTTTATTTGAAAAGATACAAAGACGTTTTATTAAGCTTTTTTTAGTTGAAGGTAAAATATCGCGTACCATATAGGTAAGCCACATTTTCAAAACGACGTTTCGGCTTTAAAGCCCCTCCCAACTATTTATTTTAACACGGACCTATACTTTTTATTGAATTTTTGTAATCTACAATTTTTCTTTATCCAACAAATGACATCGGTTGAGAGGGGGTGAATCGTGCCTTGGAGAGGACACTTTGGCTACGACCTTAACTTTACCTACAGCGTCGTCTCAACGCTGTGTCGCTCCAGCACAGGTGAATAAAAGTTTCCAAATTAATTGAGTACGCTATGTTCCTCAGATCAGTTGAAGTCTGACAGCATTGAAAATCTATTTAACGGAGCAGATTCGCTGCTCTCCAACTCACAGAATGGCTAAAGCCGTCGTACATTGCAGCCTGTTTACTGCATGTCTATTAGCTTGCAATTTAGAATTGCACGCAAAAAATTTCCTCGTCCTTCGTACACTGTCGCATGTTTTTCAAGACTATTAAAGCTTGCTGTCATTTCTGATGCCGTCAACATTGCAAAATGTGACAGTTTTGACGGTTGACCGACCGTTGCTGCAGCTAAATGCATCTTTGTTAAGTTTAAAATAAATGAAATAAATCTCAAAGCCATACGTCATAATAAGATGAGCGGTTGTTTCTCTTTTGGCATCAACTACTCCTTTAGCTAATATTTTGCAAGGTATTGAATTGAAAAAGCAGAGATAGAAAATATTTTCCACACTCTACCTTTGATTTTGCTTACTAAGGAGCAAGTCATTCTTGGATCGGTTTCGTCCCTATTAGAACTCTTCAGCAAGAAATATAAAATCTCGACTCCAGTCTCTAATGGAGTCTGATGACAATACGAAATTCAATCGAACGCATTAACAGCGAGTTGAGCATGTGTAGATATTCAACGAGCGAAAACGCCATCTGTACTTGGTAAGAAAAATCAAAAGTCGCTGTAGTACCTAGTTTAAAGACTAGGTCGAATAAAAGCCAGGCAGGCTATTCTTAAAAAAGAAAATAATTCCAAAACTCAAATGTAAAGATGTAAAATACTACAAACAAATTTAAAGCCATGAGTTTCTCTTTTGTCGAGAATTACTTTTATTGTTAAGTTTGTTGCAAACAGAATTTGGAAATTAAAAATGTTTCTATATTTTTGCTGGCTTGTTGCAGAAAACATGCAACGAACACTCTGAAAGGCATGCGCAGTTATAAAAAAAAGGCTAGCAATAGAATTACAAGCTACATGCTGTAATGTACGAGCCCTTGTTCGTGAAAACCTGAGGGAAGCAATTCTTTGTGCGAGGTTCGTCGTCAAACGTAGTTAAGCCGGTGGTTTCGTGATCTAAGTCTGATTCTCCACTAGTGTCTAGGACTAGGAGAACCACCAAAGTGATAGAAAATGACACTCCTGAATCTGAATCATCAGCACGTGACGAAACAAGAATATTATTAAAATTAATATTTAAAATTGCAATATTACACATTAGTTTGCTAATATTAACCTCAGAAAAACTTATCAAACTATTTGAAAAAAATGTAGAATTAGTAGTATCGCTCTTCCACTCAAAACCTTTAGTGTTCGAGGGGCAAATCATTTCTCCGAAAATTTATCTTTGTTTTACGGAGTGAGTTACTGTGTAGCAGAGGGCTTGAAGAACTCCCAACAGACACCCACCGTTGGCTTGATAAGCCTTAAAAATTGGATTTGTATATGAATAAGGAACTAGCTAGTAAACGTTGAGCTAAGAAACCCAAGTTTGCAATGCGCGAGGGACTTCTTATTGTAAAACACGGCTAAAAGAAATATAATGCAAAAGATCGGTAAAGTATTATACTCAGAACTTCTTTCGATATAGAAATTGTAAAAACAGGAAACTCCTAAGCAATTAAATTTTAATAATTTAAAATTAAAACTACCAAACCAAAAATCTTTTTTCACATTTCTGTCTCCATCGATCTTCCTCTGATCCCACCCGAATTCTCACTTCGCCTTCACTGGGTATTATTCGTCACGTTAACCGTTATTGAACAATAATGATTGGCTGCATTTAAGATGGCCCAGTTACACAAACCAAAAGGACGATTTTTATTATTTCCATTCGACGGGGACCTTTTTGTTTGATTAAATACGATTCCTTTCAGCGCTATTTTGAATTTTTAAAAATTATTTGGAATCTGTTATCTTTGAATTCTAAAATTCTCAGATACCAATTTTAGTTGAAATCTGCCGACTTTTAAAAATAATTTTTATTTTAAAAACTGCTCACCCTGTACATAACTGATCAGAAAGGAACCTTATCTGCATTCAAAATTTAAAGTTTTTTTATAAAGCTGTTTTTGAGCTATCGCGCCAAAAGACAGAAGAAAGGCAGCGAAAGACAGACCGACGAAATGGGGAAGCATATTTTTCGCAATCTAGGGACCCGAAATGTGAAAATGTAAAATAATCTCGCAAGGTGATTTTTTTTAGGATTACAATACTTCCCTCTTGTCGAGGGAAGTAAACATTTGAAATAAAATAATCTGGGACAAACTTCGAAGACCAATAAAAATATAAGCGAGCGTGGATGATCAATCGGGTTAATCCTGTGTGGCGTAAAAGGAAGTTTTGCTAAGAATCTTAGGAGAGTGGCGCTATAAGTCCTCAATAGCCCTGATTCTTACCAAACAGACTTTCTGTATATGTAAAGTTAACTTCCGTGCAACTAGTCTACTAACTATCTAACCGGAAGAAACGAACTTTTATCGAAACAATGGAAAAACTAGCTTTCAAGGAAATTACTCTAAAAAGCCTCGAACACTTGTTACATGCACATGTGGTGATGTCAGGATCAGAACTCTTTCTGCTTTTTAATTTTGACGCGATAGCTACCGGTTCTTTAAATCCTCTGATGGGCCTAGCTTCCTTTAAAATACAAATGTCTCGCGCCAAAACTTAAAACTGTTTTATGAAATAATGAATATAATAGAAAATAAAAATAGATAAATATTTAAATAAATTTATAAAATAAAATAACACTCTTTAACAAGCTAACAATGGTTTATTGCTTGGATCAGGAACCGTAAAGGTACCATTTGGGAAGGCGAGACCGAGTTCAAGCAAAGAACCAATTCATCTTGAAAATGCGCATCTTTTTCCCATTCAACCAACTTTGTATCTATAACGGTTAATCCCCATAGTGTTAAATTAAATTTTCCCCACCCCGTATACGCAGTGTAGCACTCTTGTCTGTTAAATACATTTTTTAAATTGTATTTTATCTCGGTTTTAGAATGAGGCTACATAAAAGCACCAATATTGTTAAAATACAATCTAAATTTAAAACTAATTAAATAATATGACGCAAATAGTTAAAAAATTGGGTAGATCATTATAATTATTAAATAATGAATGTTTTAAATTCCTACCTTGATTGCAGCAAATACCCTCAGCGGCACATCGTCCTGAACTTTTTCTGCAAAAACCATTTCCAGCCATGCATGGCTCTCTTTCGTGGAATAAACCTTCTCGTTGACATATTACGGTTTCGGGACTGCCCATAAGACAACCGAATGGACCGCAACATATGTTAGGCCCAAAACATTGACCGGTGTGTCCAGGGCCACAGGAAATACACTGCGCGAAATAAAGAAACAACGATTATTTGCTATTGACATAAAAAATAGGGATAGAAAATTAAATAAAACTACGCAATCTGTACCTACCGGGAGTCCAAATAAGATAGTCATCGGTTATATTTAAAGAACCGTTTATCGGACAGATTTTTTTTTTAATTGGCTAATCAACATTTAATAGAGTATTAAGTAAATGTGCAATACGAAGTAGGCTTGTAAGAGAAAAATTCATTAATGTTTCAGTTTCTCGATTATTTCACTGGTGCAAAAGATCTTGGAGCCATAGTGTGTTATAGTCTTTGTGATTGAGCCATTATTATAGAATTGATCTATGAATCTATTTTTATCTTCAAGTCGTTATGACGAATCTGGGTGCTCACGTACCATGGAGCGTCAGCAATCGGTCTTATTTAATGTTTTAGATTTGAACGTTTGGATGAAGTGATAGATGGAGGTTATGCACATCTTCAAAGTTGAACTCCATAAGATCATATCGGTTTTAATATAGCTTTTTAAAGCAATATTTTGTTGTTTAACGAAAGCTTGAACCTAGGAGCCAACGCATCTTACAGAATTTTATATCAAATTGTCGTTTAGTTTATACGTTGTTTTTCCAAATAAGCCTTTGAAATACTTTAGTTCTGTTGCTACTGGTATTTGCACATTTTTCATTGTTAGTGCTAGACATTTCCTCCACTTCCCCGTTTTTCCTGTTTGAATCGGACCAACAATAGCTACTGTATAGACTTAGGTCCTTTTGGCATTCTACTGCGCATGATTTTTTCTTTAAACTTAATCTACGTCACGTCTTCATTACAACACCATTTTTCTGTTTGAATCTGACCAACAGTAGCTAAGATATAGACTTTGATCCTTTTGGCATTGCTACAGCGCGCGATTTTTCTCTTCCACATTAATCTGCGTCACGTCAACTTCATAATGTTATTTGTTTCTTGTAAATCGGACGAATAATAGCTGATATATAGACTTAGGTCCTTTTGGCATTGCTATTGGCGTGATTTTTCTCTTTAACGTTAATATATACGATGGTCGCCATCTTCTTCGTCTCCAGATGCTTCTATTCCCCCACTGGGGCCTCCTCCAGTTCTTAGAGTTTTCAGAGGCTTCTTCAGCGTTAGGTTAGATGACTTTTCATAAAATGATGCTTAGGTTAAATGACTTTTCACAAAATGACGCTTAAGTTAGATGGCTTAGCGATGAATAGGCTGAAATGCCTTCGTTCACGTTAACATGTCTCGTAGGTTAATCTGCGCATATCTGTGCCAGGAGTGAGTAACCTAGTATATCTACTCTTCTTGCTTCAAAGTGTTTAACTTTTGTTCGCCATTTTGTGTATCAGTTGTTTAGTCAGTAGAGGTGGTTTTGTAAATTCTCAGTAGCTCTTAGGGGATTTTCGTCGATAGAAATTATAGCTACGTCATCGGCAAATGAGGCAATATTTGTATTATTGGTTTCGGGTACCTATATCAGCAGTGAAGATTAGAAATAGTAGTGGTTCCAGTACACTACCCTGATGTACTGCGGATTTGATGGGCAAGAAATTAGAAGTTAGATAAGTATGACTTAATCATACAGATCTGAGATTGTTTTTAAAGAAAATGGTCCCTAAACCAAGTTAGCCGTTAACGGGAGTGTCATTCTCATAGTCAATGATACTCTTATTTTTTTTCTAAAAAATGCCAAAATAAGTTAAGTCAAAAATATTAAAATCGTAATCATTGGCAATAAAAGCATTACGTCATTAAGTGGCGAACTAAGAAATTTAAAAATATTTTCTAACGATTCTCTTACCCACTTTTAAAAAAATGTTTTCCTAAAATTCTAATAGTTTCTGAGATACAGGCTATATCCTAAGTCGGCTTCCTTTTTTATCTGGACACCCGACAACCATGAATCGACAATATCTAGGCGTGGCTAAATCTCTCTCTTTTGTTTGGTTTAGTTTCGCCTCAAATTATGTGTCTCTTTCATTAAAAGTCAGCGCAAGAGAGTTAACAATCTCTATCCAAACTATACTATAATTCCAACATAGTAGGCACTAAATTCTCAAAAATAATTGTGACGTGTATGCGTTAATCTGTCTCTTGAAAATCTGTAGAGAATTATGTAATAAATAAATTGAGGAATTGTCGGCATGTCACAATCAGTATGGCCGCTATTTCGAAACAAAATAAAAATTACTTACAGTATTGTATTATTATTCATTATCGTTTGAAGAAAATTCGTCATGACGAACAACTATAATCGCCATTCCTATTATTCAAGTTGATAATCAATGGTTCAACCGCAACATCTATTTTAGTGTCGAGATCCATTTTGTCTTCTTCTTTTATCGCGTGGCTGATTTTTCCATGACTGAGGCGTGACATTGATTATTGCTGTATCTAGCAGGCTTTTACCTTGTCCAATGTAAAAGTCAAGTTTTCTCTCGCCACTTGCTTTTTAATTGAGTCCATATTACCTCGATCGGGTTTAGCTCACAATGGTTAGGAGCGAGGCGGTGTACAATTATATTCTTCTCACGAGCCATTTTCTTGAACTCTGGTATATGTTCCCCTGCAATATTTAATAATTCGACTTTTAACATTTTATCATGGAATGTTATCTTTTTTTGAGATAGCCAGTTAATGATATTAGCTTTTCGCCAGGCAGTTGTTGGTGACTGCTCCAATTGTCTACTGTGTTCGGACGCGTTGTCCACGATGAAGACAGAGTTTGTCGAGGCTTGGTAAAATATTCGAAAACCAACTTTCGAACTTTTGCGCGTTCATTTCCTCATGGTAGTCGTTAGTTTTCTTGGACTCTAAGAGTAACAAGCCGTTAAAAAAAAAACCGAATCGCTGCCTATATGTGTTATTATGAGTCTCCGTCCTTTGCCAGCTGATTCTTTTAATTCTGTTGACAGGCCTTCAATGAAAGCTTGTCGACGGCTTTTTATTTCTATATCTTGCCACTCCTTTGAGGCAGTATGGACTTGATTCAGCCAAGTCTCATCTTAATAATAATTTTTGTTTCCTTCACTACGGTACTCTCGGATTTTTTGCAAGAATTTTCTCCACCAGAAGACAATTTCTTCTCTTTCTATAAGAACACTTTTCCTATCCTTTTTCATAAATTTAATGTTAATTTGCTTTAATGTTTACAATAAAACACGTCGTGATATTTTGGCCATCGAATCATCGGAACTTATTTCGGCTCCGACTTTTTTTAAGGTTGGGATTTCATTTCGGAAAAAGAACGAATAAAATTTCCTACTAATAGCATACTTGGTGTGATCATCAAGCTGAGTTCGTTTTCTTCCTCGGGTTTCAATCTCTTTAGATACATTATTAGATTTACCTTCATTTTCTTTAAAAGTTTTAAGAATTCTGTGAACACTTGTCGTCGACACTTTAGTTGGTTAAAGTAAGTAAGAAACAAATTAATTAAATTATGCCTATGAATGTTTATCTGACCTGGTGCACAGCTCGGGCCAATATGTATATCTCTCCTTACCGTACGGCAACTTTAATCTGTTGTTCTCTTCTCCGCCTCATAAACATATTTGTGTACGCAGCGTTGCCATTTAAGTTTAAGACGCAGAATATCATTAAAATTTTTTATATTCTTTCAATAAACATTGATGTTACTGGATACATTTCACTAACATGAAGATTCTTTAACGAATAAAACACTTTGGGGTCTATTCTGTATCACATCCGTTAAAATTTAGAGGCCTTTAAAAATTAAACTTTTAGCGGACCGTTTTTTTTTAACCAAAAATGGTATTCTGTATACACAAATTTTAGATGCCTGTTAAAAATTAATTATTTTAACGGATTCCCTTAAAAATGACAACATCACATTTAAGATTTATTTGAACTAGTTTGAAAACATAACCATACAAATCCTCAATTTTCAATTCAAAACCTTTAAAAATTAAAGGCGAATTTTAACATCCCTTTAAAAATGATTGTTATTTGAGGACTATTTTAAAGGAATCCGTTTAAATAATGACAGAAGTAAGTTAGTGAATACAAAAATATTTTTAAAGGCCGCCAATATTTTAACGGCCGTTAAAATATAAAGGAAGTGTTACAGAATAGACCCCTTTGGCCGTTATTCTATGGCTATTTATAGGCATGTGAGTAATTAAAATAGAAAATGCTAAAATATCTAGAATCATAATCTAACAACGTTTTCGTTTTAAGGCAATAATATTTCTGAGAATTTAGTGCCTACTATTTTGGAACTAAACTATAGTTTATTTATTTTTATCATAATTGGTCTTAAATCTAGTAGTAAGGAAAAGTATATTTGGACATGGGTTTGTTAAGCAAACGATATTTATTTTTGGATGGACTGTCACTTTACTAATAGACAGTTTTAAAACAACTTGTATACATCTTTTATTCTTTATCTGGCATGCAGTTGTAATGTAAAGGGATATAATTGGCAACACCGCATCCGATCGGCCGTTGTTCGTATACAAATTAGAGGAAACAAATGTGACACGCAAACGTTTCTCGGCCAATGAATTGGAGTAAGGGTAGAATGCCTGTCAATAGGACTGGGATGCGAGTATACGATATGTTAACCAAGTCACCCAGCAGAATAAAGACGAGACGCTTAATTATATTTAGTTGTGAGCTGTATAAAGAGAGTAGCTCTAGCCTCGCCTATCTGCCTTCTGTAATTGGACGTGTGGTTATACCCCTACCGGTAGTGAGATAACAAGTATGCTCTATTTCTGGCAATGCAATAGCTGTGTTAATAGCATTGGTTTTCTATACCGTTCTCTTCAGAGATGTTTGTAAAGTTAATATATTGTATGGGCCCAGCCATAGTCATTGTTCATCTTACTCGGGAGTCGTTATAATAACCATTTTCTGTTTCACATTAAACAATCTTGATCCAACATTGGATTAGGATTTTTAGGATGATACAGAAAATAGTATTTTAATTACTCGCCCGAGTAAAATGAACAATAAAATGGCTGCGCCCATAGAGTCGCACACAACATATCCAATTGATATTCTACCCCCACTCCACTGCATTGCTCTCTGCTCAGAAGAGTTGCCGCTATGTCGCTCTCAATGTATGCCAGTACTGTAAATTAAAAAAAAACATCTCTTACCTGTTTCATGTTTGTTTCCAGTCCGAACTTTCCACTTCGTTTTCCGCCCCTAGGACAATTCGTAATTAGGCAGCTTTCAACATAAATTATGGCACATAAAACAAATAAAAACAATACTAAAATATTTTTAACCATATTTGGCGCTAGTTCTAATGTCTTAACTGTAATGCTTCGTTTCCAGTGATGCTGCTATATTTATATCTTAACTTTGACACCTACCCCTGAGAAATGTGCGTGTTTGTATTGTTAACTCTTGTGTTTTCTGCAGAATTTTGATGAGCACTTCGAATTGCAACCCATTGATATGATAATATGGATAGTTTATTTTATTCAGAAATATGCGTACGTGAAAAGTAATGTCTGAATCCGAAGAAGATATTGCTGATAAAAATGTAAAAGTTGCAGTGTTGGGGGATTCGAATGTGGGCAAAGTATGTATATTTATTTTCAGATAAATAAATATTTTTACAATTTTTCTTAGTTATAATTCAAGTAAATAGCCCATTTTACTGATTATGGCGTGTACGTCACCATTAATATACGTAAACATAAAGCATGAACAATGGCGGCGGTAGATATTCAAGTTTCCACAAACAAAAAATTAGTTTATCGAAATCGTATTTGTTCTATTGTCTAATATAGAAATTCCGTGAGTGGTTCGCAGACATTCGAATTTTTAACCTGAAACAATTTATAGGTACTTAAAAAAGGATTTGAAACAAATTATTAACAGTAGTTTAATGAATATTGCTTTAAATTAACTATAATAAAAAAATACACTCATCCCTAACCAAAACATGATGAGATAGCTCCTCTTAGGTGCTTTTCAATCAGAGCTGTAGAACTAATAAATAAAAATAAGACAGGAATAAAAATGACACTAAGGGTCAGTCTTTTCACCTCTGAGTAAAGTTGAAAGTAACTTGTTGATTAGACTATAGGCTATAGAGAAAGTAAAAGTTGAAAAGTCTTTTGGTAGGTAGAGAGGGGGTAAACGTCAAACCACGTCGGGCGGCTCCGTGAATTTCACAGTAATGTTTACCTGCCAGTGTCGTTTCATAGAATAAGTAATTTTAAATTGTTATCGGCGGAACCGGACAATCGCATGTATTTATGGATTATAAATAATTATTAAATATGTATTATAATATTCAAATTATAATTTTACAAAATTTCAACAGCTATTCACAATTTATTAAACTATTTACTCGAAATTGTTATTAACATCTATAAAATAATTTTGTACGCCAATGTATCGTGTCCACTTCGGTTAGATCCGCTGACAACCTGTCAAGTTATGTGTATAAAGTGGGAGAACTGGCAAAAGCATTTCCAACTTTTACTTCTGTTCTACGTGTAAACTTTACTCAGAGGTGAAAAGATTGGTCCTAAAACTGCCTGCAAATTTGATAAACGGAATGGCGTCACTCGTCACAGTGAATGAGACAAAGTAAATTAACCTAATCCAGAGTTGGGTCGGCTACAGGAAAAAGTATCCGAGTACCGGATACGGATACTTACAATGTATCCGGATACTTTTTAGGATACTTTCACTTAAAAAGTACTGGGATACAAGTATCCGGATACTTTTTTCGGATACTTTAAAGGATACTTTTACGGATAATTTTAAAGTGAGTTAAAATAAATGTTTTCATACTAATAGTTATAATTATGCAATAAGATTGATTACAAGTAACAATAAACAATACTAGGCATAAATAAATTATCGAAAATGGAAAGCGATATAATAGAATCAGGAAAAAACTACTTAATAAATTGTTTATTATTTGTATTCTGTGAATATAAAACATTAAAACAAAATGAACAATAAAACATAAAGGTGCGTGTAAATAAAACGAGTCGCGCCTGAACCGCTCCAAAAACCAGCCAGTGTCGTGTCCATATAAATCTAACGAAATAAGCTCGTTGTTGGCGCGACTTGCCATGTTTATACAACCATTCGATATTCTCGTCAGTGTCAGATGTTTCGTTCTGGCATATGCAAAGCAGGCTCGTATATTTGATCTTGTCAGATCTGTATACTCTATTGATGTTGATGATGACATAAATAACACATGATCAGTAACATTATGAGCAACAACGTCATACATGTTTGAGTACATTATAACACATACAATCATTCAGCTATTATTATATCATTTTAATTTTTAACCGACTTCAAAAAAGGAGGAGGTTCTCAATTCGTCGCAATATTTTTTTTTATGTATGTTCAGCGATAATTCTTTAACACGGTGTCCGATTGAAATCGGACACATTTCAATGATTCTTTTTTTGTTACAAAGGGGGTACTTCAGGGGTGGTCCCATATAAATTTGCTTAAAATCTAATAATTGGGTCCATGAGAAAATCCTCAAACTCTTCATTTTTTAGGTATGTTTAGCGATAATGCTTTACCACCTTGTCCGATTTATATGATTCCTTTTTTTGTTAGTCAGGGGATACCTCAGGAGTGGTCGCATATTTTAGTTAAGATGTGGTGATGGCATCTGCACGTTTTTGAAGTCGGTTTTTTTTAATTTTTAATTTCTAATACTTGTAATATTTTTATTAAATTGAAGTAATACCCCACTGATTTTATTTATATTTATTTGTCAAGCAATTTAAAAAAAAAATTATTTTTAAAATAAAAGTGTGAAAATCTACCAAATTTGGTTTTACTCTTTCAAAATTAAATGGATTTTCATCAAGTAAAGGCCGAAACAATAAATAATTGAAAAGAATTATAGAAATTGGACAAAGTGGTAAAGAATTATCGCTAAACATAAAAAATGAAAAGTTTGAGGATTTTCTCATTGACCAAATTTATATGGGACCATCCCGAAAGTACCCTATTTCTAGCAAAAAAAGAATCATTTAAATCGGACATTGTGTTAAAGAATTATCGCTAAACATACATAAAAAAATATGTACAGAAGAATTGAGAACCTCCTCCTTTTTGAAATAGTTTAAAAAGGATATAATAATCTGTATTAATTGTATTAACTAAAAAACTACTATGTGGAGTTATATGTATATATCTTCTTAAATTAATCGTATATGTAAAAATGTGGGTTCGGTTCCTAGAAGAGTACCTAGTTCACTGTGCAGCCAAATTTATATTTATGATACAGAATTTTTTGAATAATTAAAGTTTTAGGTTTAATTAAACACCAAGTTTTATCAGGAATAACATTTTCTGTAAAAAGTAACACATGAAAAGCAGATTTTTTGCGAGCCACTTTATATATTTTAGAGGTCAATCCATATTATTTTAGAAAAATAAATAAAATTTTTGTATAATCACATAAATATGATTTATCTTTTAGAATATTTTATATGTTTGTCAAAGTTTAGCATTTTTTGTAAAAAAAGAAATATTCTTCAAAATTTTTCTTAAATTTTTTAACACGGTACAAATACCTTAATCTGTTTATAGTTATCGATTTTAAACAAGACGGAGATCGGACATCGTCAAAAAGAAACAGCAAAATTAGTAAAGAATTTTAACTTGATTAAAAAGCGTTCTTTCTCTTTCCATTTCCTATAAAAACTAATAGACCTTTTTGAAATCGGTATTCGGTGACTTTTCTTCTGTTTTATTGCCTTGAAAATGATATGATTTACATAAAAAACAAAAACTGACTTATTATTTTTGTGAAATAAAAATATGGTATTTTCGCAATTTTCGTCTACTCTTTGTTTCCAAAAAAGAAATACGATATTCTTCTGTAGATATTAACACATTCTTTAATTGGCTTTTTATTTTTAAATATTCTTTAGTATTTTCATAATTTGGGAAACAGTATAGCATTGAAACTTCTATACCTGAAAAATTGTGAGTACACTTTTAATTAATTGTCTGTTTTTTATCTCACAATGTCTCAATAAGAAGTTATATAAAAAAAGTTAGTATTCAATATCATCCAGACAAAAAACAAAAACATGTTTAAAGGAATATATTAAATAAATTATGAGTATTCTTAAACAGAGATATATTTATTTGTATTATAGAAATAATGTTTATGTCAACAAACTTATGTTCGATATTTGTATCAATTTGTAACGATAACTCTTGTATAATGATAATATTAAATTTAAAGGTTTTAAATAAGGATTTGCAGATATCACAGTTCAAAATTCTTTTTTTGACCATAATACTTTTTTTGAAATGAAAGCATTAGTTCCTGTTTTTTAGTTAAGCTCCATAAATCAATTCATATTTTAATCTGAACGCTACTTAAGCGCAGTAAAGTTGCAAAAACTAAACAATATAGTGAACTTTTCGAAAAGTTCTAAGTTAAAATGAAAATCAATTTATATTTAAAATTAAATAAGTTAACTAAAATTTTTGACCGTTATGAAGATTCATGTGTGAATTTTCAATTTCTATTGATGATAGTTACTCATCTACGTATTACAATATCAATACATGACTTGGATTTGACACAAAACTTTTAATCCGAATCAAAATCTTGAAACTATTATTTGGGGACTTAAAAGCATGGCCCACTAGTTGGTGTAGCCTTTTAAAACATTTGGTAAAATCCTAAATTTAAAATAGTGTACTATAATAATAAGACATTAATCATATCTTAAATGGATCGCCTACTACCATGTTTTAGAAATAAATAAAATGTAATTCTTAAATTAATAAAAATATTCAAAATAATTTAAGATTCCTTGCGTTATGTTAATAAACATTAAACAAAATTTCTCACGAATTATTTAGTATTTTGTCCCGTACTTCCATGTCTCTATTAGCTTCGCTGTCAAGTTCCGACAAGGCATATTGCATATAAAAAAATTTAATTTTATTTTGTATCTTTTCTTCCCAAAAGCTGTCATTATGAGATATTTTCTCCACTTTTATTCCTCCAGAAGTCCAAAAGCACAAAATGCAAAAATCCATTTGTATTATGTGCAGCTAGCCCTGAATTTGAAAATACCAATAGTGGTTCTCCTTAATGGTATTGTCCTTTTTCCAAAAAGTTATTTCTCTACTGCATATTTCTTCTTCTACAGTCAGTACTTCAGCTCCATATGGACATTTTAACTGACTGGCAGCAACATATCAAATTCAATAAAATGTCCACATTTAAAAACTTTTACTTGCAAATAAATTTCCAAATATTATTTTGCTCCGAATTTATGGTC